ATATAAATATAAAAAAAGCATAGCGACGTCAGTAGCGACGTCGCAGTCGCAGTCGACGCCGCCGCCGTCGTTGCTTGGCCCAGTTTTAAGCTTTGGCAACTTAATAGGTCAAATTAATTGTCGTTTGCGATGTCCCAAACGTAACTCATTTCAGAAGCTCACACACACTCACACACACACACACACACACACATGCACAGACAGACGAACGCAATTGTGTACAAGCGAAAGCGGCGACGTCACAGCGAAAAGCTTTCGCAAGCATTTGAATTGATTGCAAAGCCGAAACGATTGTCCAGTGTTGGCCAACACACTAAAAACATACACAATGAACGAGAGACAGCGTCGACCGTGGTTTTGGGTCGACAATATCGATCTGCGTGTCTGAGTGCAGCTCACTAATCGTTGTATGGCCTCCTCCGATAATGTGATTATAGGATTGCCAAAGAGAGAGAGAGAGAGAGAGAGACACATACTAATTGATATGTATGACAGAATATTCAAGAGGAATACATTGCGGGCGCCCAACTGTGCCCCACCCCCTAATACTAGAAAATGAGGGCAATACAATTTCAGATTCTGATTGCAACCGTAACCCACAACTTGTTAACAGCATTTGGGGGTGCGAATGCACCCAGAAGAAAAACAAATGAATAAAAACCAAATAGATAAATGTATACAACAAAATTTTTGCAAGTTTTTTTTCGCTTTTCGCTCAGTTCCCCTGCACTCGAGTGTATATATTTATGTATAACTAGATATATATCTGCAGATTTTAGCAGATGATTTATAAGTAATATGTTCATTGGATTGCCTAAGCAACTTGTTAATAAAACACTTTTTTGTAAAGTAAGGTATGTTTCTAGACTCTTCTTCTTGAGCTCATGAGAATTGCATAGAAGACAAATGCAAAGCAAAGTAACGTAAACATATGTATGTAGTTACATATGTATATCATATCAACTGGCGCCTCTGGTAAAAATGTAAAAATAAATTTCAAAGCAACCATGACACAGTGACCGAAAGTTGCTGGAAATTGATCAAGTTCAAGATTTTAGGCTTATGGGCGTAAAAGCTTCCTTCTTTAATGCCTGAAATAAGCATACATATGTATGTATGTACGTACTTAATCATTTATGTATTCATGTTTTAATACCCATATCTTTTATATTATTATTAATAATATTGCAATCAACCATAAACAAATAATCAACAATTGCCAATACAATAAAACTGATCAATCATTTGTTCACATATTTTTGGGGCCGCCTGCCATGTGACGTGTGTGTATATACACATATAGATACACACATACACACATAGAATACATGCTACAAGTTAAGCATTTTGCTGTACCGAGCGTGTCGGAGCGCAAAGGCAATGAAAATAACAACAAAAACTACGCCGTTAACAAAAAATTTCAACAATATACATTTTCTTATAAGAATAAGAAGGTCAGACAGCCAGTGATGTCGCTGTTGGCGTCGCAGTCACGACTGACGTTGTCAACGCTAACCGCGGCAGCGGCAGCGATTGCGACTGCGATGCCTAACGTCAGGTAAGCGTTTTAGTAACTRCATATGCGACAAGCACATAATTAAATTGATATCCCAGCAATTAAAGCGATAATAAATAACAAAAAACAAAACAACTGTAACAATAAACACATAAAAGAAGAGTATAACAACATAAGGCGCAAAGCCTAACGGAACGTGCAACAAGCCCGTCGCCGTAACAGGGGTACAATGGCAGCTTCGTAACTCACCACACCAAAGAGAGAGAGAGAGACAGAGAGGGAGAGCGCAAAGAAACCACCACAAAGAGAGCGAACACTGCAGACGACGACGACGACGCAGCCGACGACTCGCTGGCTAGCTGACAAACCGAAACCGGCTTTGGTTATAAATAAACCTTCGCTATGCTGGTATTTGGCTTTCGAGTCTCTAGCGGTGCAGTAGCAGCAACAGCAAGCAGCAGTAGCAGCGAACAAAACAGAAAAGCAACAAACGGCGTTCAGGCGAAAAACACGAACTTACCGAAACGAAATCGCTGTGAAAAGAAAATACATAAAAGAGACCAGACCAAGCAAGAAAAATTTACAGACACTCGGGCGCACATGCATAGAGTTTTGTTTTTGAAAATTGCTGTTTTGTATGCTGATTGAAACACACGAATTTGTGCTTCTATTTGCGCTATATCATATTTATTTAAATACAAACAGCATTTCCATTAACTCTAGTGCAAAGCACTTGTGCTCTATTTATTTATAAAACATATTTTATTATTTTTTTTTGTTGTGTTGCTTTGCGAAAAAAAGACAAAACAAAAGCAAAGGAARCTTGAATTGGAGCATCGGGCCAAAGGCAACGCAACGCAACGATAAGCGGGCGTATACAAAACAAACGAGGAACGCATTAGACAGAGAAAGAAATAGAAAATAAGAAAAGCAGAAAAACTAAAGAAAACAGGGGATTAGAGCTAAACGCGCGCGCACTGTTTGTTAGTGTGAATAAGTGAAAGTTACGCGCGCGTGTGCAACGACATCGGCCACGCCCACGCCCATCCACGGCACACCGCCCACAGACAATGAACCGATCAAACAGTTTTGTCAGCTCACTGAAATGGTGGCCACTGCAGGGCCACAACAATCAGGCAACGCCACCGAGCGCCGGAACAGCATCGAATGGCAGCAGCAGCGCCGGCTATTCTCAATCGGCGCCCAGCTCTCCCACATCGAATTGGCCGCCGTCGCTGCTGCAGAACCATCACCACCACAAGCTTAGCGTCGGCGCCAATGTGAACGCAACATTTGGCAGCAGCGTCGCCGTACAAAAGCTGCGCGAATCCAAATGGTTCAAGCCCGAAGAGCATCGGATTTTCTGCGCCGTAGTCGAATGTGGTTTCATTGTGGAGGTGCGCAGCAGTGCTGCTGCCAAAGCCGCTGCCGATGCAGCCGCCGCTGCCGCAGCTGCGGCCGCAGCCAGCGATGCCGATTCCCTGGACATCGATTGTCCGGTGCTCACACTGGCGCCGCCATTGATAATACCACGTAACGGCAGCAGCAGCATAAGCTTTCTTGAAACACAGGATGAAAACGAGACGCCGGTAGCGTCATGGTACGGCATCGTACTGTGCAAGGTGGCCAAAGGTGAGTACACAAAATACGAATAAGCGATTGGGGTGAGGGAGAGAAAAAAGCTTTCCTCTGCTCTAGCTCTAGCTGCTGTTGAAAAGCTCTTGACAGTCTGTGCATTTTATGTCGCCAAAAAAAACTGTGCAAACTTGTTTTGTTTTAAATCTTTTGGCCCATTTAAGTGGCTCTTCGTTCTGTTCTTGACCCATAAAAAAAAAAAAAAAAAAAAAAGAAGGAAACAAAACTGCTGCGATATCAGATTTTCTTACTTTTGAGGATGATTAATCACATTGCAGACGTCAGAGCAATTAAACTAATCTCACAAGTTCGGCACATGCTGATATTTGAAAATGACATTTAATAAAATCAACAAATTTTATATACATAATACACATGTGTGTGTGTGTTGTATATATGGGCGCCTTTTATCTAATCGAAGACAACAACTGTGGAGAGCTGCCTACAAGAACAAAAAGCACTTCTCAGCGGTTTGAAGAGGCAGCAAAACAAGGCGCCAGCAGCGCAGCGGCGCAGCAACGAACTTTGCGACGCGTCGCGACGTCGCGTTTCGCACGCACGCATTCACACACTCGCACACACACGCAAACGAATAGTATACATTACACGTACGCAGACATACAGTATTTCGCTCTCACACTTACAGCAGCTACATGACCATTCACAATGCTGCGCTGACAGCTGCCAGAACATTCCATTTGTATGCGTGCGCAGAGTGAACAAAAAATGTAAACACACAAATGCTTGAAATATTGCTGACAATGTGCGCCTTGTCATAGGCAGCGGCAGCAGCACCAAGAGCATCATGTGCTTTGAGTCACGCATGCTGCTGTTTTTTTTTTCTTTTGCATTGCTCTGCCGACAGCACGTTCACCAGCCTTTGGGACTCAGTCCCAGTCTTGTGATGTGTGGTGAACTTTTCTCTACGACTTAAAAGCTTACACTACGTAATGACATTCACCACTACGAAGACGACTGTTGCATCTCGTGCCGCGAACAAGTCACCAATAGTATAACGGTGGGTGTTAGACTTTGTTTGCAAATGCATACATTTATATGCATGTGTATGTTTATTTATACATGTGTACATGCGTGTTGTCGTACGTGTGTTTGCTATGATAGTAGAGCTTTTGATTTTTAAATGCATGCCGTGTGGTGATTATCCTGTACATTGACATGACAAAATAAGCTGGTATTAGCATGCATATGTATGTGTACGTATGTAAAAAAGGTCGCATATACATATATATATTTGTATGAATATATTTATATGTATGCACAGACAGTGGTATAAGATTAGTTCTATAAGAATTTCATAGAAACTTTAGCTAAACACAATTAAATGTTTGCTTATTTTTGATGGGCAAACTTAATGTACATATGTATGTATACATATACATATATATATATATGTAGACACACTTTTGTTAGACAATGATATATTGATAAGAAATGCTGCAAGCGTAATTAACAAATGTTTATGTAATTGCTGCATCTGAAGATAGAATGGCATGCTGGATAACAACGCGACGTCATACATATGTAAATAGCGCTTATCTGTGTTTCGTCGGAATAAGGCTTATCGCTGCCCACACATACATATATACATACATACATATATACGTACACAGAGTGCACCAACAGGTGCCGCTTTGTAATACGTTCAATGAACTATAAGAAAGTAATATTAACATTTATGAGCAATCTGTAGATGAGCTCCCTTCCCCTTCCTCTGCCGACTGAGCTAAGCAAACACATTTTTCCCACGACCTGCGATTACAGTTTACAGTTATTTAATGATGAAATCTACGTTGGTGTGTATCATACACAGTGTATGTGAATGAATGAACATGAGTGCCTAGGCGAGTACATACATATTTAGCTGACATAAGACATGAACAACTTAAATAATAATCAAGCCAAGCTACCCACAGTCCTCTTCAACGATTCGCCCACACAATGGAGCAAACAATTTGAAAATGCGCGCAAATTAGTTGCGCATGGCAAAGGCTTAGAAGCAACAACAGCAACAGTAGCAACAGAAGAGCAAAACAAAAAGGAGCACAAAAGTGTGAAATATTAGCGATGCTAATTATAGATGATTAAAGCTCATGTCATTCATTGAAAGTATACAAATAAAACAAAAACAATAAAACAATTACGCAACTAAGCAAAAACAATGAATTATTGCTGTTGTTGGTAATGTTTTATAGCCATCTAACTTATGATATAATACGAGGCCTACAAAAAAGTTAAAAGTAAAGTAATTTAAGCGAAGCCAACTTAGCTCATTACTTAACAGTAATTTTAATCATTTCATAAGCTGCATTTAAAACGATTTAAAAAGATTATGATCAAGATGTATTTTAAAAGATTACTTTACATTTTATTTATTTATTTATTTGTCTTATTTTATTTTATTTTTTTCATTTAATATAATTTTCATTTTGATTGCACAAATTTGTGAAATTGCAAATTGCATTTCGTGAGACTGTGCAATACTTTTCTATCTGTCATCTCTAGGATAATCGATTGCAGTGTGGCCACAGATTGCGGCCTGCAACTGTAGTGCTGTATAACAAATCAAATTGAATAGAACTAGCAGATGGGCAACGCTGCAGTAATTTAAATTTGAATTTAAACGAATCAATTGACAGCGAATGCAGATTGCACCTGTTTGTTTCTTTATTTGTTTGTCTATCTGTCTGTGTGTCAGCGAATTGAGATTGTCGTTATGAATTGTTTAAATTGATGTCAATATATTGATAATAATATTAATGTGTATGTGTRTGTGTTTGTATATTGCAGACAATAAACCAAAACCGGAAACTATTGAGATCTATTCTGTAAAGATACGAGAAAACGGAACCTACAAGCTAATCAAAATGTCATTGGCCGACATCTGGAGCCACGGCTGGGAATTGCGCATCAATAACTTCGCTGACAAGGAGAAAGCGCCGCACAACGAAAAGGACATACGCAATCAGGTAAATTTTCAATATACATTTCGATTCTATTTCAATTGTTTGATTGCGTTTTATTTATTTATTTTTTTTTTTTTTTTGTCGTCTTACAGGTGTCGCTGGCACGCAAGGCCAAGCAGAGTCTGTGGAATAATAATAAGCATTTTGTGTACTGGTGCCGTTACGGCAGTCGCCAGCAGGATGTGCGCAAGCGACAGGTAACGACGAGTGCGAATCACGTGCTGCTGCATTTGATCAACTGATAAGCGACGCACCTATATACTCTAGCTGTATATAGGTAGTATCACATTCTGTATATTCCAAATGCCCGCCACACACACAGTCACACACACACACACACACACACATAGACAACTAACATACACATGAACACATTGTTATAGGTGCAACAGCAAAGCACACACAAACATACACACACACACGCTCGCACAACTGTTAACTTGGCCAACTTAAAAAAAAAAAAAAAATAACGGACAAAAATCAAAAATTGTAATCGAAATATTCATATATACATATTGATGTATTGTATATGTATGTATGTATGTACGTGCATTCGACAGAGTTATGCCAAATTCGATCGATGTATATATAGATATGTATGTATGTATAAATATATATGTATATATACGTTCAGTGATCAATCGCAGCGATTTGATAAACATTCATTAGTTCATCAATTGTATTTTGTGTCAGGCTACACAGCAGCAGCAGCAGCAGCAGCAGCAGCAATAATAATAATAATAGGCGCAAGCAATATTCTAATATTTATAATAATAATGCAAATCGCCTGTGTTATTTAATCGTATTGCAAATCTTTACAAGTAACCAAATGTATCTTGCAGATGTCCGAGTGCGTGAAATGGGGCAGCGTTGGCATGAATGCGGGCATGTTGCTGGTGCTCAATAATAGGCAAAAGTGCCACTCCCACTCAAAGTAACTAACACACACACACACACACACACTCTCCTATAAAGCATATGAACACAAATACACATATATATTATATATATACACTGGCATATATACATACATACACATACGTACGTACATACATAGATTGCTTGAAATTCTTCTTCTGGCTTTGTCACAGAGCGAAACAAAAGAAAACCAAACAAAACCCAAAGCAAATTGTGATAAGATAAATCATATTTTAGCGCCAAACAAATGCAAATATATGTATATTTTTAACATATGTTTACTATATATACGTATGTAAACGATATGCAGAAGAAACAACAACCAGAACACAGCGAATGTTAGAGAGCAGGCTCTGAATTTGTTACTTTATTTAATTGGCAGTATTAGAATAAAATTAAAAAAAAAAAAAAAAAGTGGCTACTACAACGTGCACACACACTCATATACACAGACACACACACACATACACATTTGCTGTTGCAACTTTGAGAAAATGCAAAATACAAATTGTATTTGAAATTTGTATATTTGACAGAGAGAGAGACACACTGTGAAATTCGAAAAGACTTAACAATTTGTTGTTTTTTTTTTTTTAT